CACAGGGACGGCTGCCGCTGGGGTTGCTCCTTGCAAATGTGTTGGAGACACAAGTCGCCTTTCGCGTGGAAAGTGTTGTAATGGAGGGGGCTCCATCCAGCACGCGACTCATCTACGCCACACAACAGGGTCAGGGTCCCTGGCATTCGCTGCTGGATGAAGGCCTCTCCACAGTCACAGGGTGGTTGTTTGGCCATCCGTCACCCGGCTGACCAGGACGGGTTGGTGAGGGGGGGGCCCAAGAACTGGCTAAGATGCTGCTCGCCACTGATGTTAGCCGTGGAAAACTAACAGCCCGGACAAGGAAAACAACCGCTTCTCCAAAACCCGGGACAAAATCGGCATAACGATGTCCTGAAGCCTCCCGCAGCCCACAACACCATCGGACGTGACGAGATTGGACATTCGTTTACGGTCTCCATGGCAGCCGGCCATACTCGGCGTGGCGCGATGGACGCAATGATCCAGCGGGGATGGGGCAGGGTCGGGGGGTTGGTGGATCACGTAGAGATCGCCGTGATGTGCTGCCAAGAGGGCCAAGTTGGTGAACCCATCCGTGCGGACTTCTCAGTGGTTTCATGACACGAACAGCAGGGTGGCGCGGTGGTGACGCTTGTGCCTTGCAGCAACAACGGTCTAGGTTCAATTCCCGACTCGCGCGCCATTCTGTGTGGAGTTTGTGTGTTCTGCCCTCCTGTTCTGCATGGGTTTCCTCTGGGTTTTTTCCGTTTCCTGCCATAGCTAAAACACATACAATATCATTCGTCCATAATAGTTTTTTTTTGCACCCAAAAACGACAGGATGCACATAATGTACAAACTTAATGTGCATGCATAATATGCATGCGTAATGTACATACATTATGTATGTGCATTATGTGTGTTGATTAACTGTGACTAACCAAACCGATAACAGATATCCATTGTAATTGATATCATACATTAACCCACCCCCCTCTGGTCCTTGCACCTGATTGGCTCACAAGTGGCAACGTCACATTGATCCCTTGTCTATTTAAGACCGAGGCAGGGACATCTTCTCACAACTCTGGCTGTCGCTTGATGAGGCTGGTTGTTGTAATAACCGGCGAAAAGTCACGGTATTTGAATTGTAAATGTTGTTGTGGGTTTACTCTCCAACGCACAACCGGTGTGCTGCACTAGTAACGAATTTGCAGATTTTGTTCACGTGGAAATCCTCACTAATTGGCTGTGTCAGGTGGTGGCGGTGTTTAATGACACATTTATATTAATGCGATCTAACACAAAAAAAAACTCCATTACGGATATTGGTCACGAAAACCTACTGACTTAAAGCTTTCCTCCGACTACATGTTAAACTAATGTCATTCGTGTTGGCCAAACATCCCAAAGTGCTAAGGCCCTCCTGAGTTCAGGACCATGTGTGGCTTTCCTCGATGAATACCTCTCCGTGCCGTGGCAGCCACGGGGGGGGGGGGGGGGTTGCTTGACCATACTTCACCATGCTCGGCCAGCGTGGGTTGGCCCAGGGACTGGTCCAGATATCACTTGCCACTGACGAGGCCGGGAATCAAACTCAGGTTCGCCTGGCTCCTAGTGGGGCACGCCGAATCACTGCACGCCATCGCTCCGCCGATAATAAGTCAACGATGAAGCCACCGCGTCGGTTATTTACCCAAAAAAGGCCTCACTGAGCCTCAAAGACTCCCTTTGTCAGGAGGGTGCTGCTACATCGGGATGTTTGCCCATGAGTTCCGTGAGTGATGAGAATCAGAATGTTTATTTAGACTGGAGGAGGAATCCGATGAGCTATGAAGCTCTTTGGTCACAGGTGACAAGTAGGGGCACGGGGTCAGAAAGTCACAACAACAATTAGTTTGCCTTCGAGGTTGGGGGGGGGCAACAGGAGACAACCCAGCACCGCGGCGCACACTGCAGTGCCGTCGAACCTACAACATCCGGCAAGCCCTCGTCAGCTGACCGCACCAGAGCGATCATCGACAGCGCGCCTCAGGATCGGAGGTAGCCCCGGTTGACATTGAACATCTGTGCAAAAAGAGCTCCACGCCTCATCGGATTCCTTCCGGATGAATACAGACAACAAGAATTCTGATTCTGACAATGGACAATGCGCACGATCAAGGCCGATCTTCACCACCACCACCACCACCAGCAGCAGCACCGTGGCCTTGGCCGGCACTCGGCGTGGCGGTGAGTGGATCGTGGGGCACCGCTACGCCCCGAGGGGTTCGCGCCTCGTGATGATGATGAGCATCATCAAGAAGCGCCTCCAATTGGCATGGTTGGCTACGTACGATGCGAAAAAATATATACATACGTGACGAAGTACTGACTAGTCTCAACTCTGCTTAGCTTCCAAGTTACAACAAGATTGGACACATCCACAGTGTTTGGTCATGGGTTTATTCTTGTTACTGTTATTACCACTGGACTTGTTTCCGCAAGAGGGTCCTGTCAGGTTTCGTCAATAGCGACAGGTGCTGGAGTGCCTCTTACTTTCCACAGCTTCTTATAATCGGGAGAATACGGCAAATATCCTACGCCAAACGCAGAAGACTAAAATATAAAAATTTTGTTTCTGGGTACTAAGTGTTATTTCCTAATTGCTTATGCTAAAAAGTGCAGAAAATGGCTATTATTATTCCCCACAAACTTTGCTTTTGTGACCAGGACAGTGAGATTTTGAAATGTACCTATTTTCAATGAGAAAACGTGCGCATTTGTGTCATTCCTGCAGGTAAAGTCCTGGTCACAAAATCAAAGTTTGTGGGGAATAATAACAGCCATTTTCTATACTGTTGAGGCATAAGCAATTAGAAAGTAACACTTACTAACCAGGAACAAAAATCGTGTTACATAGTGAATCAGCCGTCTGCTGTAAAATGATGGAAACATCACAGCACACGACATAAGTAGCGAGCGGCTTTCACTGAGAAACCACCGGAGTTTGTGGAAAAACGGTGAACGTTACCCTCGTGTTATTAAAACAAAAACGGGGCGATTCTGAGAGATTAGTTGTGGGCACAGTGGCGGTGAAGCGGTCAGCAGCACTGTCCTACGAACCTGGCGACCCGGCGTTTCATTCCCGGCCAGGGCCAACAGCAGTGGCAAGCGATGTCTGAGCCGGTCCTGCGCCTCCCCCTTCTCCTTTCAACCAACTGGCGCCGACCAGCATGATGAAGAATGGTCAAATAACCTCCATCGGGAGGCCTTCATCCAGTAGTGGATTGAGGAGGGGCTGTGAATTGCTCGGGATGCTGCCACCACAGCGGTGCAAGGGTCAGCATCGCTGGACCGGCAATCCATTGGATGCCGGTTCGATTCCTGCTCCCGGTGCGGCGCCTGAAACAATGGCATGAGTTTGTCATCCTCCCCGCCACCTCTGTCCACGGCAGTTGATCATTGGCAGGTCGCGTGTGGTGGTGGTGGTGGTAGTAGTCTAGCGGTTAGCGCTACGAACCTGGCGACCCGAGTTCGATTCCCGCTCACGGCCAACACCGGTGACGATTATCTGAACCGGTCCTGGGCCTCTCCGATGTCGACTCAACCTCAATTGAGTAAGTGGTGAGGTGTGTAAAAACACTGCCACTAGGGAGACAAAGGCAGCCGGGTGTGGTGCTGGCCACCCACCGCCTCGCTAACAGCACTTGTCCCAACAGTCTGTTAAGGCTATACGGGGGATCTTAGTACTCCCAGCTCTTCCAAGATGTCAGGCCAGCGGCGAAGAGTAGAACAGATGCCGCTCTTCTCGAGAGCTGTCTCCAGCGGAGGCTGTTCGGCCGTCAGCGGCACGGACACAAGCGGTTGCACTGCTGCGCCTGTACCACCACCGCACGTGCACATCGGCGCGTTGATTTGTTGGACCACTACGATCGCACAGACGGGCGGACGGGCGTGCGGGCGGGCGGTTGCCATTGAAACCTGACGGCAGCGCCGAGCGGAGGAGCGGAACGCACGCGCGAGTAGACACGGACGCTCGTTCCCTCGCTGTGATTGGGACCCGGGGGAGTTGAAGTCTCCGCGTAAATTGAGGTGCCAATTACCTCCCACGGCCTAAGGGCGCAGCCACTGCAGTCGCTCGCTCGACAGAGCTCTCTCTAGAGAGGCCCTCTCGAGGGTACTTTGGCCTACTCCTCCACGCTGGACAGACGTCATGGGACCTGCACATCGGCCAACTGTGGTGGACCCAATTACAACAATGCCAAGTGGACAGAGGCAGTGTTGGGAGGGGATTTAAGAAACTTTCCCAATTGTCTCAACTGCTGGATGATGGACTCCTAAATCTGTCATTCATGGGGCTTGTTTGATCATACTTCACCGTGCTGGTCAAGTGTTTGTTTGTTCAACCAGGTGAGAATTCAAGAGACCAGCACGAGTCTCATTTGCAGGAGGGGCCTGGGGAATTAGTCTGCCACCAGGAAAGGGGGGTGTGGGGGCGACGTTGCTGCATTTCACGCGATCCCAATTGAGGATTGAGTCATCTACGGCATTAATTGTCGAATTTGGCAAACTAAGGACCGTGACTCCGTCGCACGATGGCCCGCTCTTGCGAATTATGTCACGGGATCTTTAACGTCCGCTGTGAGCGAAGCAGACGGCGGCGTAGCAGTCGTCGCATTATTACGACGATTACGCACGCCGCAGTGATGACCAGGGCGGTCACCGGATCGGCGAATGCACTAGGACCGGGCCACTGCGCCACTGCCCAGCGTGTGTTGGTGAATCAGGGTGGCGGTAAAACCCGGGACCGGTTCAGATAACACTCGCCACTGATGTTAGCCGTGACTGGGAATCGAACTCGATTCACCGGGTTCACAGCGCACTCGCACGCGCGCGCACACGCAAACTCAATCACACAAACACGTGATTTCACACGGACACACACAACCACAATCTCATGCGCACACACACACCGTCTCGCTCTCTCCCTCACGCACACACACCTATCGCTCTCCTATCGCTCTCTCCCGCTCTCTCGCTCGCTGTGCACGGCCAGCATGCTGCTGACCGTGCTCTTCGTGGTGCTCACCGTCCTCGGCGTGTGCGGCAACTCGGCCGTGCTCGCCGCCTTCTCGCAATCGCGCCGCCCGTCTCCCGCCGACCTCGTGGTCATCGGCATGTCGGCGTCGCACCTGCTCTCGTCCGTCTTCAAGAACACGCCGTACGTGCTGGCGTCGCTCGACTCGCTGGCGCTCAGCGACGGCGCCTGCAAGGCGCTCCTCTACACCGTCAACGCCCTGCGCTCCTGCAGCCTCGCCTTCACGGTGCTCCTCAGCGCGCTGCAGCTCGCGCGAGTCGAGCCCCGCGGAAGCCCGCGCCTGCGACGCCTCACCGCCGCGCTCTCGCGCCTCCTGTCGGGCCCGCGCGGCGGCGCCGTCGCCGCCGCCGCCCGCCTCGTGGGGGCCACGTGCGCCGTCTGCGCGTTGACGTCGGCGCCGCTGCTGGCGTTCGACGTGCGCTCGCGAGGCGACTGGCGAGCCGGCGGCTTCCTGCACATCTCGGGCTGCGTCGTGACGCCCTCCGATGGCGCCGCGGCCTTCGTGGAGGCCTCCAACGTCCTCGACGTGGCGGCGCTGGCCACCCTCCTCGCCGCCAACGCGCTCGTGCTCGGCTTCGTGCTGCGGCACCGGCGGCTGGTGGCGCGGAACCGGGGCTGGGCCGGGGGCGCCGGCAACGCCGCCGCCCTCAACGCGGCCAAGGTGATCGGGTGCCTCATGGTCATGGCGTTCGTCTGCTGGGGCATCAACGTGTGCATGCGCTTCACCGTCGTGCAGAGGCTGAGCGCCGAGTGGACGAGCACGCAGGCCGACGTGCGCGCCTTCTTCACCTCCGTCTACTACTCTCTCAGCCCCTTCATCATCATCTTCGGGCGCTCGTCCATCCGCGGGAAAGTCGCCCGCGCCGTCCGCAGGTGCCCGTGCATCTGCCCGCACCGCACGCGGGTCTTGCGGCTGGCGGTGGTGGACGGGGGGACGGGCAACAGGGTGTGGCCGGGGGTGGCGGCGCGCTGAGGGCCCGGGTTTCCGAGCGAAGGGCGGGCTTTCCGGTGGACCCGGCGCCAGACGGCGAACGGTGGTTTCGCTGTGTAGACCGGAGACGGTTCGGGGGTGAGGTTCGTGCGAGGTAGGGTGACGCTTGACAGCGGACCTTGCTCGTTGTGGGCCAGGCAGCTGCACGTCGCTTGATGGGCCGCAGGCAACGGGGCAGCGGAGCCGGGAGGGTTTTTGTCTGCGGTGTCACGAGAGGAAATGTCTCCCTGGTAAAAACAAGCGTGGGGTGGCGATCGTCTCTACTGGTGGGCGCCCCTGGCCGGCGGTGGACATTCCGCATTCCCATGGTGGGGGACATAACATCCACAGGACAACCACTGTTGAATTGACGCAAAGTGGTCACTTGATCTAGCCAAGAAGGACGGTGATAAAACTGTCGATGATGATGATAATGCTGCTGATGATGATGTAAACGACACAGATGATTATGATCTTGCTATTAAAGATTATAATGAAATCGCTGATGATGATATTGAAAGTTATCTCGATTTTAACTCGCGACCGTCCGCGAGCCAAGCTCTCTCGCCGCAGTGACCACTGGTTAAATCTTTATCACCTCGGGCTTCACAATGGCCGAGTCAGAAGCAATGAGCCGGCACCACCAAGACCCTAGGTCCATTTCCTGGGTCTGGGTGTCTCTCTCCGTTTCTCTCAGGAGGTTCATAATGGCCATGTCATTGAGATCCTAGGTTCAGTCTCTTCCCTATTTTTCTCATCGGGTTCATGAAGGGCAGGCTTGGAGAGACTCTGACACGGCACTGCTGCCAATCCCCCAGCCTGGTCACGTCTCTCTCCCTCTCTCCGAAGGGGTTCACAATGGCCGAGTTAAAGCCACGGAGAGGTCACCGCCGCTGAGGGCGAGGTTCTATTCCTGGCGCTGGGCCCCTCTGTTTCTGTCTCAGGGTGAGTCACAATGGCCCCGCCGGAGCCGGCCACTCGCCACACTCCCCGCACTCACACCTCGCTGTGAGAGAAGCTGGGCCCCTCCAGCCTCTGCTGGATCCGGTGAAGCGGCGACCGCTCTGCCACCGATCCCTCCGATCCGGCGCTCGTGGCCGCCGCGGAGGATTCCGAGCCGGCGCCGCCAGGCCTCGCCGGCGCCCGCGGGAGCGGCGGCAGCCTCCTGGCGGCGCCTCTTAGGACGCCGCAACTGCCTTTCCTCGGCCGAAACTGCTGCTGGTGAAGTGCGGCGCCGTCGACCGCGCCCAGCGAGTGTCTCGAATCGCCTCGGAACGTCGGGTAGATCGCCGGCGCCAAAACCCGCTCGTCGTCGTCGCCGTCGCCGGCAAAGTACAGCGGTCGCCGGCACTCTCCGCAGAGCGGCGCCGACCCAGCGGGGGCGGCGGCCGCCGGTGGCGGCGGCGGCGGGAACAGCTGCAGCGGCACCGCCCAATCGCCGGCCTGCCCGCCGACCGCCAACCACCGAGCCATCGGGACAGCCCGCCACTCGTGCCGCCACATCGTCGTCGTCGGCGGCGCCGCCAGCGCCCAGCGCGCGTCGGCCAGCACCGGGAGGCTCAGCTTGCGGTGGCCGGCGCCGCGGTCCTTGGCCGGCGACGGCAGAGTGAACCCGGCGGCGGCGAACCCGGCGGCTCCGGCGGCGCCGTTTTCAGAGTCTTCATCCGACGCGAGGCACGGGGCGCCATCGGGGCCCGGCGGCGGCGGCGGCTGGCGAGGCACGAGCCGGTACGTGCGCACGCCCTCCGTCTGCCCGTCGCGCCGCATGCGCCGCAGCTGGCGGTGCGCGAGCGAGAAGCTGAACGGCGGCGGCGGCGGCGGCGAGATCGCCGAGATTGGCCGCGGGGGCGGTGACGCCGGGGACAGGGGAGGCGGCGCCGGGAGGACGCCGGACGCGGAGGCCGAGTCGTTTTTGGCAAGGAGCCAGGACGAGCCGTTGGGTAGGTCCGCAGCGCGTCTGCCAGGCGCCTGCAACAATTGCGATTGGTTGAAGAGAACTCCGTTACAACCGCGAACGACGCAAGGCGGGGGGCTGGGTGGGGGGCTGGGCGGGGGGCTGGGCGGGGGGCTGGGCGGGGGGCTGGGCGGGGGGCTGGGCGGGGGGCTGGGCGGGGGGCAAGGTGAGGGGTGAAGGCGGCACGGACACCATGCAGGAGAAGCTTCTAACGTGCGCAGGGAACGTCAGCGCCACTGTGCGACAACAAAACACAACGATGCACGACGTGAACCACAACGTGAATCACAACGTGAACCACACACCATACTAACACAGGACTCACACACAACGTGAATCACATGCCTTACTAACACAGGATACACTCAAACACAACGTGAACCACACGCCTTACTAACACAGGATACACTCAAACATAACGTGAATCACACACCATACTAACACAGGACACACTCACACACAACGTGAACCACACACCATACTAACACAGGATACACTCACACACAACGTGAACCACACACCATACTAACACAGGATACACTCACACACAACGTGAACCACACACCATACTAACACAGGATACACTCACACACAACGTGAATCACACGCCTTCCTAACACAGGATACACTCACACACAACGTGAACCACACGCCATACTAACACAGGATACACTCACACACAACGTGAACCACACACCATACTAACACAGCATACACTCACACACAACGTGAACCACACGCCTTCCTAACACAGGATACACTCACACACAACGTGAACCACACGCCATACTAACACAGGATACACTCACACACAACGTGAACCACACACCATACTAACACAGGACACACTCACACACAACATGAACCACACACCATACTAACACAGGATACACTCACACACAACGTGAACCACACGCCTTACTAACACGGGATACACTCACACACAACGTGAACCACACGCCTTACTACCACAGGATACACTCAAACACAACGTGAATCACACACCATACTAACACAGGATACACTCAAACACAACGTGAACCACACGCCTTACTAACACAGGATACACTCAAACACAAGGTGAACCACACACCATACTAACACAGGATACACTCACACACAACGTGAACCACACACCTTACTAACACAGGATACACTCACACACAACGTGAACCACACACCATACTAACACAGGATACACTCAAACACAACGTGAACCACACGCCTTAAAAACACAGGATACACTCACACACAACATGAACCACACACCTTACTAACACAGGATACACTCACACACAACGTGAACCACACGCCTTACTAACACAGGATACACTCACACACAACGTGAACCACACACCATACTAACACAGGATACACTCACACACAACGGGAACCACACGCTTTACTAACACAGGATACACTCACACACAACGTGAATCACACGCCTTACTAACACAGGATACACTCACAAACAACGTGAACCACACGCCTTACTAACACAGGATACACTCACACACAATGTGAACCACACGCCTTACTAACACAGGATACACTCACACACAACGTGAACCACACACCATACTAACACAGGATACACTCACACACAACGTGAACCACACGCCTTACTAACACAGGATACACTCACACACAACGTGAACCACACACCATACTAACACAGGATACACTCACACACAACGTGAACCACACACCATACTAACACAGGATACACTCACACACAACGTGAACCACACACCTTACTAACACAGGATACACTCACACACAACGTGAACCACACGCCTTACTAACACAGGATACACTCACACAAAACGTGAACCACACACCATACTAACACAGGATACACTCAAACACAACGTGAATCACACGCCTTACTAACACAGGATACACTCAAACACAACGTGAACCACACGCTTTACTAACACAGGATACACTCAAACATAACGTGAATCACACACCATACTAACACAGGACACACTCACACACAACGTGAACCACACACCATACTAACACAGGATACACTCACACACAACGTGAACCACACACCATACTAACACAGGATACACTCACACACAACGTGAACCACACACCATACTAACACAGGATACACTCACACACAACGTGAATCACACGCCTTCCTAACACAGGATACACTCACACACAACGTGAACCACACGCCATACTAACACAGGATACACTCACACACAACGTGAACCACACACCATACTAACACAGAATACACTCACACACAACGTGAACCACACGCCTTCCTAACACAGCATACACTCACACACAACGTGAACCACACGCCTTACTAACACAGGATACACTCACACACAACGTGAACCACACACCATACTAACACAGGATACACTCACACACAACGTGAACCACACACCATACTAACACAGGATACACTCACACACAACGTGAACCACACACCTTACTAACACAGGATACACTCACACACAACATGAACCACACGCCTTACTAACACAGGATACACTCACACAAAACGTGAACCACACACCATACTAACACAGGATACACTCAAACACAACGTGAATCACACGCCTTACTAACACAGGATACACTCAAACACAACGTGAACCACACGCCTTACTAACACAGGATACACTCAAACATAACGTGAATCACACACCATACTAACACAGGACACACTCACACACAACGTGAACCACACACCATACTAACACAGGATACACTCACACACAACGTGAACCACACACCATACTAACACAGGATACACTCACACACAACGTGAACCACACACCATACTAACACAGGATACACTCACACACAACGTGAACCACACGCCTTCCTAACACAGGATACACTCACACACAACGTGAACCACACGCCATACTAACACAGGATACACTCACACACAACGTGAACCACACACCATACTAACACAGGATACACTCACACACAACGTGAACCACACGCCTTCCTAACACAGCATACACTCACACACAACGTGAACCACACGCCATACTAACACAGGATACACTCACACACAACGTGAACCACACACCATACTAACACAGGACACACTCACACACAACATGAACCAAACACCATACTAACACAGGATACACTCACACACAACGTGAACCACACGCCTTACTAACACAGGATACACTCACACACAACGTGAACCACACGCCTTACTAACACAGGATACACTCAAACACAACGTGAATCACACACCATACTAACACAGGATACACTCAAACACAACGTGAACCACACGCCTTACTAACACAGGATACACTCAAACACAAGGTGAACCACACACCATACTAACACAGGATACACTCACACACAACGTGAACCACACACCTTACTAACACAGGATACACTCACACACAACGTGAACCACACACCATACTAACACAGGATACACTCACACACAACGGGAACCACACGCTTTACTAACACAGGATACACTCACACACAACGTGAATCACACGCCTTACTAACACAGGATACACTCACAAACAACGTGAACCACACGCCTTACTAACACAGGATACACTCACACACAACGTGAACCACACGCCTTACTAACACAGGATACACTCACACACAACGTGAACCACACACCATACTAACACAGGATACACTCACACACAACGTGAACCACACGCTTTACTAACACAGGATACACTCAAACACAACGTGAATCACACGCCTTACTAACACAGGATACACTCAAACACAACGTGAATCACACACCATACTAACACAGGATACACTCACACACAACGTGAACCACACACCATACTAACACAGGATACACTCACACACAACGTGAACCACACACCATACTAACACAGGATACACTCACACACAACGTGAACCACACACCATACTAACACAGGATACACTCACACACGTGAACCACACGCCTTACTAACACAGGATACACTCACACACAACGTGAACCACACACCATACTAACACAGGATACACTCACACACAACGTGAACCACACACCATACTAACACAGGATACACTCACACACAACGTGAACCACACACCATACTAACACAGAATACACTCACACACAACGTGAACCACACGCCTTCCTAACACAGGATACACTCACACACAACGTGAACCACACGCCATACTAACACAGGATACACTCACACACAACGTGAACCACACACCATACTAACACAGGACACACTCACACACAACATGAACCACACACCATACTAACACAGGATACACTCACACACAACGTGAACCACACGCCTTACTAACACGGGATACACTCACACACAACGTGAACCACACGCCTTACTACCACAGGATACACTCAAACACAACGTGAATCACACACCATACTAACACAGGATACACTCAAACACAACGTGAACCACACGCCTTACTAACACAGGATACACTCAAACACAAGGTGAACCACACACCATACTAACACAGGATACACTCACACACAACGTGAACCACACACCTTACTAACACAGGATACACTCACACACAACGTGAACCACACGCCTTACTAACACAGGATACACTCAAACACAACGTGAACCACACGCCTTAAAAACACAGGATACACTCACACACAACATGAACCACACACCTTACTAACACAGGATACACTCACACACAACGTGAACCACACGCCTTACTAACACAGGATACACTCACACACAACGTGAACCACACACCATACTAACACAGGATACACTCACACACAACGGGAACCACACGCTTTACTAACACAGGATACACTCACACACAACGTGAATCACACGCCTTACTAACACAGGATACACTCACAAACAACGTGAACCACACGCCTTACTAACACAGGATACACTCACACACAATGTGAACCACACGCCTTACTAACACAGGATACACTCACACACAACGTGAACCACACACCATACTAACACAGGATACACTCACACACAACGTGAACCACACGCCTTACTAA